ATGAAAAAATAGTGAATTAACATATAATACAACAACAACAACTCGTCAGTAATGACAAGGATACGATCTGTTCCAGGAAATAGTGTTCTTCCAGTTAATAATTCCGCCATAATGCACCCCACTGACCAAATGTCAACTAAAATGTATAATAATAGTATTACAGCATTGTATGATAAGATTTCTGTATCGCATAAGATAAAGTAGATAAGATATCTCTCTCTCTCTCTCTCTCTCTCTCTCTCTCTCTCTCTCTCTCTCTCTCTCTCGCTCTCTAATTCTCTTTCGATGTAATTACTAACCTGTTTGATTGTAATGCATCCAATTAAGCATGATTTCAGGCGCTCTATACCATCTGGTGGCGACGTAGCCGGTCATCTCGTTCTCGGTCGGCCTGGCCAAGCCAAAGTCCAGTATTTTCAGTTCACAATCCTCATTAACCGCTATATTAGACGGCTTCAAGTCCTATTGATCAAATGAGAAACTGCTACACTTTTCACATTTCGTATAAACACACAGCACATTTTATAAGCAAAGCAAAATGAGCGAAGCAAAATGAAAATTAATTCTAACTGATACATTACAATAAATAAGCAACAAATATATTAGTTAGAATTGATTCTGCTCATTTCGTTTCGCTGATTTATAAAACTTGAAGCACACAGCATCACTTATTGTACCCTATGTATAATTCCTGCAGAATGGATGTATTTTAAACCACGGAGGATCTGGTAAACGAGAAATTGCACGTGATCGTCAGAAAGTTTTTGCGTTCTGACGATGTTATTCAGGTCGGCGCCCATTAGATGTGTGACTAGGTATCTGTATAAATAAATAACACGATTAATATTTAATAGCGAGCAAAGTGAGATTGCTTTCATATGACGGACACATGATACCTACACATGTTGAAAATCCTCCAAAGACGAAGACGGATGAAATACATCTAACAGTCCTATTACCTATAGGAGAACAGCACGTGTCTTTAGAGATTAACTGTAAACTTAATCGACTATAAAAAGTGCCTCGATGATTGTGTTTACCCACATTTTCATGATTCATATGTTTTAACATACGCAGCTCCCGGTAGGTGCGTTTTGCGTGCACAGCTGACTGAAATGGCCTGGCTAACTTTTTGATCGCCACCTTTTGCCCAGTGGTTGTATCCACCGCTGAACTATAAAAACGTAAAATATATTCTTTCTCAGTGATATTCAGTGATATTTCTCAGTGATGACAGTCATATTCCTCAATGAAAATTAAAGTGTTATATTATAATTTGTTATAAATTTTAATATTTTTATCGATTACGTCATTAATCATTATATTACTATCAATCATAATTTTACATAAATTATATCATTAATCATGTATAACAACATTGTATGACTTCATACATGTGTTACTAATATTTTCTCTCTACGATTCTTTTCCTCTTTTTTTTCAAACTCGCAGCTGTTTTATTTTGAAATATAGGAAAAACAAATATCTAGCTTAAACTCTATTTTCCATGATTCTTTTCCTCTTTTTTTCAGACTCACAATTATTTCGTTTCGAAATACAGGAAAAACAGATATCTAGGTAGCTTAAACTCTAATATATTCTATGATTCTTTTCCTCTTTTTTTTCAGACTCGCAATTATTTCGTTTCGAAATACAGGAAAAACATACATCTAGCTTAAACTATAATAATATTTCCTACAATTCTTTTCCTCTTTTTTTTCAGACTCGCAATTATTTCGTTTCGAAATACAGGAAAAACAGAAATCTAGCTCAAGCCTTGATCTATCAAATAAGATTTCACATTAATAGCATTATTTCTCAATTCGTATTGACAAAAAACATCGCGCGTCGTTCCAAATTCATTCTATTTTCGTAAAAATGCGGAACGCGCGCGCAATAAACCATCGGAATTAATACACCCCCGCAAGAATATCCCGGTCCATCTCTATACGGTGAATAATCGCGACGATCTTGCCGCTCTAACGCCAAAAACGTAAATGTCAAGGTTGCGATAGGATTCACATTCACGGCCCAGAACGTTGCTCGTTCCAGCGATCTTCCATCTGACCGTCAATCGATCGACCATCACGATTCTCCGCCAATCGACAGCCAGCCAAAGTCGAACGCGAGGCTTCGAAGAAACATTTTTATTACAAAACTGTGAGATTTATATCCGGAGCATTAGATATATAAATTACAAAAGTATAAATAAATAAATCAAATCAAATCAAATTGAGACATGTCGCGGAACTGCGCATTATTGCGGATGCAGGACAAGTTCAACGAGACAAGATCGCGACGAGAGAGCGGAGAACTTTTTTTGCGACTCTCAAGTCGAGAGCCCCTTGGCAAAGTGTCCGTCGAATACGCGTATATCTCGCTCTCCAAGGTTCTCCATCTCTCGGCGATCGCTCGCTCGCTCGCTCGCGCGCGCGCGCGCGCGCTCACGCACGTAACATCGGTGCCAACGTCGTCGATCCGCCTGGCGTGTTGTCGCTTACCAGACTTGGCCGTAGGCGCCCGAGCCGACGGGAGTGAGCAACTGGTATCGCTCCGGTACCTCCCATTCCGTCCTGTTGATCTCGATCTTGTGAAACTGCGGCATGCCTCTCTCCCTCGCGCGTTCGCTCGCGTCACGCTCGCTCCGGCGAGGATCACGGCGACGGATGTTGTGTGTGTGCGTGGTGTGTGTGTGACAGGCGAGTTGTTCCCTCGCACGTTCCTCTTCGCGTTCTCGACCGGGCACTCGATCTCTACCGCGCGCGACGCCACATCGCCGAGTCGCCGCTTCACGAGCTCATCGCGCGGTGTACATGAGCGAGTTACGGCCAGCGACAGACGGGTACAAACTAACTCGCGCACGGAAGGCCGGAGCGGAGCGGAGCCGTCGGGCGCATCCCAATCGATCCCGCCCGGCACGATCGCGTGGTCTCTTAGCTCTCGATACTCGATACACCGTTCGATACCTTTTCCTTACGTTCGATATACCGAACACCGAGATCTCGGATAGAGGGAAAATGTGATTAGAATGTCGGAGGAACTCTTTCGAAATTGTGTTCGTAAAATAAATATTTAAATTATATTAGTTATTCGATGCTGATATTATCTTGAAAATATTTTCAGACGGCCTCATGATCCCATTCAATCGATAAAATGACGAAGGCGAGCAATATTCGTATTCCAATCTTGCATTCTAAATTTTATGTCCATTTCTACGAATGTCGTATGTGAGTGCGAGTGCCGCGGCCATAGACCTTATAATTATGGACTGGCAATTATATAAGCCTGCGTTCCGTACTTTGATTGCGGTGCATACATTTTTGTTATTAGATTAAGTATTTCATATAACAAATGGACGAAAATAAGTCTAACGTTCGATTTTAATTCAATCTTAATATACAGATTAGGAACGGAATTAAATATAATTTACCTGTAAAAAATGAATACATTTATATACGATATGAGAATAATAATAATTTATCTGAGGTTTTTTAGAAAAAATTGGAAGTTTAAATTTCGACCAGATTTTTTCCAATCAATCTCTCTATACGAAAGATATACAGGGTGTCCCAAAATTCGCGAATCAAAATACTATAGTAAGAAAGTCTTCAAAAAATTAAGTAAAAAAGTTATTTGTAAATTTTTAATTTAAGCAGCAGTTTTTGAGATTATAAGAGTTTATAAATTTAGCCAATTATTAGATTACGATTAAACGGAAACATGTCCGTGAGCGCGTCGTACTAATGTTAGTGGTCGCGCACTTCACGCTAGTACTAATCTATAAATTGACTAAATTTAAACCCTTATATCTCAAAAACTATTGCTTAGAATAAAAATTTACAAATAGGTAACATTTTTTTTTTACTTAATTTTTCGACGACTTTCTTGCTATGATATTTTGATTCGCAAATTTCGGAACACTCAGAAAAATTGCGGAAAGAAGGAATTATGGCGAGAGCTCACGAGCAACGTTAATTAAGTACATTCCTTGACACAACTGACATTAGACCGGTAAAATTGCATATAGTAAAATTTCCAACTACGTTCGTAAATAATTAGCATATGTTAACAAATGTCTATGTAAAACAAAATATAATACAGACGTGTTACTTAAATATAATTAATCACACGTGGATTTAGTGAATTGGAGTTGAAGTCATTCATATATATACGATTTCAAAATGCTGTATTTTTTTAGAAACAGAGAAAGAGAGAGAGAGAGAGAGAAAGAAGAAGAGAGAGAAACAAGAAATACGTGAGAAGGTGCAGAAGGTGTAACTGCAACGAACGGACGGAACAGATCTTGGCATTTAATGACGCGCCACGTTGTGCGCGAAGCCTTAGCCCAAGATCGTGCGCGCTTTTTGCATTCTGCCCGATGTCCACGCTGACGCGACGATTGTCGGGAGTTATGCGCTAGATTTTCCCCCCCGGTGTCACGCATCATCACCAATTGACAGATGAGTACCGCCGAGAACGAGGCGATGGAGGAGTACGAGCCCTCCATCAGGAACGTGATCGAGCAACGTTCCCTGCGGTGGATATTCGTGGGCGGCAAAGGTGGAGTCGGGAAGACGACCTGCAGGTACACATAACCTAGGAAGTGTCATCCTGTCAGTCGGGTCTCGGGTGACAGGAGTCGGCGAGGATCCCACTTGACGTGCATATACGTTCCCATTGAATCAGCATATCAGCTGTAATCTCGCCTTCTGTGTGCAAATCGCGTCCATTGGTTTTCACTCTTTTACTTCATTTTCTGTCGTGTCATTGCACTTCATAAAGTTATTATTGTCACATATGTGTAATTATCTAATTTTTATTTATATTATATATAATAACATTTATATAAATATATATATATATATGTATAAAAGAAATTTATTATATAATACATACAATTATATATATATATCATATAATAATATATAAATATAAAATATGAACATATACGTGAATGTTATATTTTGACAAGATATATCTAAAAAATTATCTCTTTCTAAAATTACGAAAAAATTCTGTAGGCAATCAGTTTTTGCTTTGAGTACACTTTAAATAAAAAAGACTAATTGAAATCTTTATTTTTTGCAGTTGTTCCCTGGCAGTACAGTTGTCCAAGGTTAGGGAGAGTGTACTTATTATATCCACAGATCCGGCGCACAATATCTCCGATGCATTTGATCAAAAATTTAGCAAAGTACCCACCAAGGTGAAGGGTTTTGACAATTTATTTGCAATGGAGATCGATCCTAATGTTGGCATTACAGAATTGCCAGAGGAATACTTTGACAATGAAGCAGGTTTGTCTATAAAACACTTTTACTTCTGCTCAACCTCTGCACAAGTAACTTTGAACATATAAGTTTTTATTAAGAATTATATATTAATATGAAATGAAAAAAGTTATAACATAAAATAAATAAAATAATATATAATAATAACTACTGCAATAATTGCTACGCACTTGAAGCAAAAAAATAACATATATGCAGAGTCACTTTAAAGAAATCTTCTATTATACATAGTTATTTAATTTCTGTTATACATAATAGATATGTATAGTTTCAGGAGGAGAAGCAATGAGATTAAGCAAAAATGTTATGCAAGAAATTGTCGGTGCATTCCCTGGAATAGACGAGGCAATGAGCTATGCGGAAGTTATGAAGTAAATTTATGATTTTTATATTTTTCGTTTTTCGCAAAAGATTAATAAGACAATCTTTCTTTGTGATTTCAATTTAAGATTGCAGATATATCTGAAATCCTCTGTCTTCTACTTTCCTTATTTTGATATCTTTATATGCTGATTCTAGACTTGTAAAAGGAATGAACTTTTCTGTCGTGGTATTTGATACCGCACCTACTGGACACACGTTGAGGCTATTATCCTTTCCACAAGTGGTTGAAAAAGGATTGGGAAAATTAATGCGTTTAAAAATGAAGATTAGTCCCTTTATCACACAAGTTAGAATTAATCCATATTATTTAATTTAAAATTGATACGTAAAAAGTATATCATATATTAACCCTGAATTATTTAAATTGAAAAAGGATTTTTCTGTCGTAGATAAGTTCGTTGTTGGGATTAACGGATTTCAATGTGGATACGTTTTCTAATAAGATGGAGGAGATGCTTGCTGTAATACGGCAAGTTAACGAACAGTTCAGGAATCCCGATCAGACGACTTTTATATGTGTCTGCATAGCAGAATTTCTGTCGCTTTACGAGACAGAAAGACTTGTACAAGAATTAACAAAATACGGTATTGATACCCACAATATTATAGTGAACCAGCTATTATTTTTGAAAGAGGGAGATACTCCTTGTCGGCTGTGTCTTGCAAGGCATAAAATTCAAGATAAATATCTAGATCAGGTAACTAACGTTGTATTTAAGACTGATATTAATTTGTTATTTTGTAATTTATCGTTTCTCGAAATTTTTTTAGAGATCTTATTTTATATTATTTTTTTAGAGTAATTTTATATTTATCATTCTATCAAAGTGCAAATCGAAAAAAGTATAAGATAAAATTCATGAAAGATAAATTACATTTTGTTTTCCTTTTAAGATAATGGACCTTTACGAGGACTTTCACGTCACGCAGCTTCCGTTACTAGAAAGGGAAGTGCGCGGAGTTCAACAGGTCAGGGAATTTTCGGAAAATCTCGTTAAACCGTACAAACCTTAGCATCTGTGTAATAATTATGTTTAACAACAATATAACTTTACACCTAACTCAAGGTTTTATACACTTGCAACCTCGCGCGTTGGAAATTTGTATAAAAAAAAAGAAATTTAAGGTACACCTTTAATATACTGCTCGATTGAGATATTTGTTATTGCACGTGTTAATAAATTCAATGTTACATTCGCATGCACTATACTATATTTGCAATATTTAATTTGTACAATACAAATCAGCTTAAATATATAGCGTTAACATTACAATTTTTTTTTTACTTGTGTAACGAAATAGAATGCATATTGGAGACAAAATCATTCAGTTTCTCTTTACTCTTTTATCGAAAATATATTTATTAAATTACTGCAAGTTCTTTTCCAATTTGTATGAAAGCATTCACGGCACGATCTATATCTTCGGTCGAGTGCGCCGCGCTAATCTGCACACGTATTCTTGCTTTATCTTTTGGTACCACAGGATAGCTGAATCCAATTACATAAATTCCTTTTTCTATATATAAAAAAAAAAAAAAACATTTTCGTACAATGTGACAGAATAAGCCACAAAACTCTAATAACACAACATGGTAACTGCTGTATATTTTATTACTGATATTGTTTTTTTAAAGATTTTATAATTTATACGAAAATATATACGTACCCATCATTTTATCTGCAAATGTTGTTGCTAATTTCGCATCACCTAGCATAACAGGACAGATGGGATGGTTATCGCCGCTGATGGTGAATCCAGCCGTGGTCATCGCATCTCTGAAACGCTCGGTATTGCCTGCTAAACGCTCCAGAAACTTTGTGCTGTCCGTTATGAGATCCATCACCTGTTAGCGGCGCGTTTAAAGTGACTTGAATTAAAAATGTTTAAACGGCACAATAAGCCTTAAAACATTATTTCCTTTTTAGCTCTTGTTTTGAAACAATATAACACTGTTCACAGTAATGCCGATTAGTCGTATATGTAATAACTGTGATTTAATTACTTTACCTTAATTGCCGTTGCGACAACGGGTGGAGGTATCGAGTTCGAGAACAGATACGGTCTACTTCTTTGTCTCAGTAAACTTACAATCTCTTTCTTGCTGGTCGTGTAACCGCCTGCCGCACCTCCAAGAGCCTTTCCCAACGTAGAGTTAACGATGTCGATGTCTCCCAGATGACCAAAGTACTCTTCTGTACCTCTGGATCGGAATAAAATTGAATGAAATCAAACTCGAGGATCAGGTAAACAGACGGTCTGCGAGATTTTGCGCAGATATACCTGCCGGTTTTGCCGAAAAATCCAGTGGCATGGCAATCGTCTACGAACGTGATAGCGTCGTACTTCTTGGCGAGCTCGATTATCTTCGACAACGGCGCGACGGTGCCGTCCATGGAAAATACTCCATCGGTCGCGATGAGGCGCAAGCGTGCCGACTTGCTCTCCTGAAGCTTATTCTCCAAATCCGTCATGTCTCTGTGCTTGTACCTTGTTGGGTATGAAAGCGAGGAAACGGCTCAGCAGGTCGGATCGGCAGCGACAGAAAAATTTGGCGAATCTTATAGCTAAACAAGAGATACCTGTATTTTTTCGCTTTGCACAATCGTATCCCGTCGATGATAGACGCATGATTTAGCTCGTCACTCAGCACCGCGTCGTCGGCAGTCAGCAGAGTTTCAAAGACACCGGCGTTCGCGTCGAAGCAGGACGCGTAAAGTATCGTATCCTCCCTGCCATGGAACTTGGCGATTTTTCTCTCTAATTCGACGTGTATCTCCTGCGTTCCGCATATAAATCTCACGGAACTCAAACCCGCCCCGTATTTATCCAACGCAATCTTTGCCGCGTTAACAACATCCTTGTTATCCTAAATTGAAGAGATCTCATAATCCAATTTTTATAAAAAAAAAAAAAAAAAAAAACATGGCGCACTGACTGGTATATAGTGTTAACATTCCTTGTTGTTCTTACCGCTAAACCCAGGTAATTATTGGCGCAAAAATTGAGCGCCTTGTTCCCATTTGATAGCGCGATCTTCGTTCGTTGAGGCGAGGCGATTATGCGCTCGTTTTTCCACGTACCGGCTTTGACTATAGCTGCCAATTCGGGCTCGATGCAAGCAATTAAAGAGCTCGCTGTCCGGCCGATATTTCGCTTGACATCTGGAAAGTTGAAAACTGCACGAAGAAAATTAAATTGTACGCATCGTTTTAGATTTTATTTTGCAAATGACGATAATCATAAAATAAACGCACTTTTAACATTTTTATACATATTATGTGCGGGATCACCACTTTGGCTCTTTGAATAGAGGCAGATAACTGATTATAGATGAAAATCAAGCATAGTAGAGTGATCCTGAAGTAGTCAAACCGGTTTTGGACTATCGATATACCTTGATCGCGTATATACCTTCGAACGATTACGCAACTCTGTTTATGACATTCAATTAAACACATTTGCAAAACATGTTTACGAATGTGTTTCATATAGATTTATTTAATCTCTCTGATATTTTTTTAACAGACTCATAACAAATACATCATACATTAATGGCACAATAGTAAAGAATATCAGAATTGTAAAAAAAAAATACATCTATTAATTTTCAATTCTCGTTTTTTAACCCTCTGCCCGGAATATCGGTCATTATGACTGCTTTAAGGTTCACATTTACACAAGTGGGGACACTTATCCCATTCCAAATGATCAAAGACAAAAAATTGGTTGAAAAGTAGCCCCTCAAAAAATGAATAAAACTCGTGTTTTTCTGGAGTAGCGGTCATTATGACGGGATGTTCCATGTAACCGGAGAGGGTTAATATAATCAGTAAAATTTTTCTGAATACTTTTATAATATTGTGAGATTGTAGCATCTAAGAAACAAAAACATTTTAATCAAATTTAAATATTCTAGAATTTTTTATGCTCTAAAGAACACAAATAATTCTTTTGAAAAGCTACAGTTTTTCAATCAGCATATTAATAAGACATTTAAAAATAACAGAAAAAATTTATTTTCATTCTTTATATTTTCACTCTTTCCACCCTGAAATAATTTTATCGTAAATTTTTCATATATCTGTATATTTATTTATTATAATTTATAGTGATATATTAAGTACTCCATTCTGTTGTATTTAAGATATATATTCTAGGTTCCACAGCTGAACTGATTATATAAATAATACTTTTGGTTTAAACATTTCATATGTATTAAAGATTAAAATAATATTATTAATATTAAAAATAATAAATTATTATCGCAATAAATTCGTAAATTATTTGCATCAATAGGAGGAATTTAACAATTAAATTATAAGACTACAAAGTTTTATTTCTATTATAGTTCAACCAAAAAGTAAGTTTTGTACTGAAATCAATTGCAAATATAAAGAAAATTTTTTTCACTCCCAATGCTCCATTAAAATTAGCTGAAACTAAATTGAAATGCTTTCTTCTTGGTTGTACTTACATATTTATAAAGTATTATATATATATATATATTTATTCTCCATTAAATCATGTTCTTTCTATATTTTTCTGTAAACGTGTCTTTTTTAAACATGAGATCAGGAAGTTTCATTTAGTTATTAAAACAAAGAATTGAATTTATTATTTAGTTTACGTTCTAGAATGTTAAAATTAATGATATTACCATTTACAAGGCATATCTTTGATAAATATAGACTTAAAGTATTATTATTACATTACATTAGATTTTATAGCTGCTTTCACACATAACAAATTTTCCAATTTTTTATATCATTACACTTGCATTTTAACATCTTACTATTTGGTCGATCATAACTTGGTCTTTATTATCACTTTCCACATGGCAGATCATCTAGAGAACGCCTAGTTACAAGGAAAACAAATTGTTCTTCCTCCTGTATTCTAAATTTCGTTATTGCTGGAAGAGGTTCATAAAGGATGGCGACATACTATTGAGCATTATAAATAACATAATCTCTGTAATTTTATAATTAAAAACTTGTGAAATAAATATATACAAACAAATATATATACTTGGATTTAATTTGCCTTTAGGAAATACCTAAATATGCATAAGTGTATATTTTGGAGTACTTTAGAAGAAATGTATCATCTAAGAACTAGTCAACTTTCTTACAATATAAGTCGATTATTCAACATTACTGGAAATCGAGGTTCAAAAAAAGTCTGATTACTTTGCTTGTAAATACAAAGTAAGATTTACGTCGTCTTGCTCTTCGCAGAAAGTCTCGTTGCCAGAGCGTAAGCGTGTGGAAAATTATGCACAACCATGTATAATATTCCCAAGTACAAAATTATGCCGATAGTAAGAAAGAGATCAAACACAGCCGGTTTTACACTGTAAATAAAATAAAAATAATTACACATATAATTAATCACATATATGTTATATATTATGAATATGTACGTAATGTATGTACGTAAGAACTTATATACTTTACCTATATACATTCAAAATGGCTTTTGTAACATCGTAAAACACAAATTCTGGATCTTGTTTATCAGGAGTATGAAGAGCAACTTTAACATCTCCCAAATATCTCGCCATTGCCTCTTTCAAAGTACCGACTAGTGCATTGTTTTTATTCACGAGTAATGATGCTGCTCGTGGTTGAGAAGCGAAGTAATTAAACCATAAGGAAAGCGATTCTTTCGAAACATCCTGCAAAAAGAAAAAAGTTCACATAAATTACAATTTTGAAGCATACATTGCTACATAAATATTATCATCAATATTTAATATTTAAATCCATATATAAAAAAATTATTAAATTATTTTTTTTAAATATATTCTAATAACTTTTATACGTATAATTTTTTATACTGTAATATACATATTTTATTTTCCTATATTTAAAATATACAAATAAATAGACAATACAGAATGTAAAAGTTTATAGCAATAAACGTACCAGTGGACCAGCAAATATTTGACTAGAACTCAAGTTATATATATGACGCGCTAATGCTTCTGATACGATTTGGGTATGCTTGTACAATCTATCTACTTGTCCTTCTCTAGAGACATCTAATATACTAGTCCTAGTTGAATCTTCATGACTTTTTAACGTAGACAAAGTAGCAGCTGGCAATCTTCGAATGCTGTATCTTTCGTGTTCCCATGCTAATGTCTCTTCCGCGAGATTTATCTTTTTATGCACGCCATCGACAGCGACAGTGTTGAATGATTGCGAAACAGTTTTAAGCTCCTTGTAAAACAAACCACCCGACGAGTTCTCCTTAGGTGGCTTTGACACGTGCACATATAAATTATTGCTGGCGGAAACTGTGTCAAGGCATATTACATAAGCTGCATCCTAGATATAACGTTTTTGTATATTAATTGCATTATTCTTTAGAATATATAATGAAAAAATATAAAAAAATTAGTTATAAATTATTTATTAATTAATTTTGTGATTGTATTACCTGTATAACAGAACCTTCAACCCCGTCCAACTGATCCTCCAACCACTTCTTGCTACCTTGATAATTCAATTTACCAGCTCCAGTCGCGATAAAAACGAGATTATATTGCGGTCTTGTCCGACCAGTGGAATATAAAGCAGAGAACAGTCTCGCTAATTCTAGTAGCATAGCTACGCCGGAAGCATTACTGTCCGCACCGAATGATAATTCCTACACAAGAGTATTATATCATACGTTTGAGCACGTACAAGCCTAAAGCAACGTCTGCAATGAGACTTAAGATTTAAGAAAATTGACCAATCACAATCGATTATTCCTCTCACGTGAGATAAATAATGGACTATGATTGATCAATTTTCTTAAGTCTCATTGTAGACGACGCTTTATATAAATATCCTACATAAAAATGATATGGGAAATAATGGACTTACAGGTGCCACACCAGCACTATCGTAATGTGTCACTATCGCTATGGTAGGTAACTTCTCTTCGGTGCCAGTTCCAGTTAGCTTGCCGTGCAACGTGGCAACTTTAACATCTGTTTTAGGAACTGCCTGTCCGGTAGTTACCACCACTTGGTAACCGCTAGCCGAAATGGAGTTGTATATGGCTTCCGCCGCCGAGCCGGCCTTCTCATCCGTAATAAAACCACCCGCGATGTCGTCCAGAATCACCTGAAGCTCCGGATGCCACAGTGCAAAGTACACCGGTATTGTCGTCTCGGAGCCGTACAGCATGGACTCTTCTAGATTCAGAATGTGCTGAAATCAATACAGCAAATTTACAAACTGTCTACAACAGCCCGACTCGTGGAGCAAATATTTCGAGATGTAATGAAGCTTCGTGTTAATCCTAATCACTAACTTGCTTCTCCTCCGCCGTGAGTTCAGCCATCTTCTCGGGTAGAACAATCACCAAAGCGCCGGCCTTACTTCTAATGGACTGGAAGACGGACGGTGTGATGTCCAGCGCTCGCGCGACGACGCAGTGCCTGGAGGTGCTCCATCCGGCCAGGGACCTCGCCTCCAGGGAAACGGGCGCGCTACGGCAACCTGGATGGGCATGGATCGCAAGCGCGTCTCTTTGAGAACCGAGAGAAGTCGATCTTCGGAACAGGCTCATCACAGACAAACCCGACAGCTTACCGTGCGGAACTCCGTGCAGGTCGTACTGGTGCATACGATACACGGGGAACTCGTGGGAGGCGGCCACCGGGTTCACCGGGGAGATGATGATGAAGATCGGCAGGACTATTAGCAGATAGTACGGCAGGTAGCCCCGGCACAGCTCGGCGAAGCTGTCGCACTCCTCCAGCCACATGTTTCCACCGAGAGGACTGTATCACCGGCTCAAACGGAAATGCGAATCTCGCGCAGTTTCATCGACCTAAAAGCCCATCGACGGATCCTCGCTTCTCGCCCGTGCGACGACGACGAACCCCACTTTTCCTCGTGTCAGGTTAGACTAGGTATGACTTGCTAAAGATGCCGACAAAATAAATATTAATGAATATTTTATTACAGACAAATAATCCTGTTTATGTGATCGCTAGAAAGTTCATATAAATAATAATTTTATGATTTATATTATCATTCGTCATTTGAAAATATTTTTTGTATCTATCGCTCGATAATATATTCGAATTTTATTTCATACGACCTCGTTCATTGTTATCATCCAAGTTCAATTACCTACGAGGGATAACTATGAAGAAAATTTATTATTTAGTTTTTGTGACAATTATCTGGTGAAAATTTCTCACATAATTTTCCAAAATTTTTGTATAAATTTTATTCCTTAAATAACCTTCATAAAAAATGTCCCGGGTTTTTTATACAAATTGGGAAACATTTTCAGTAATACAGCTGAGGTCGGAAGCATAAGGTATAACTGCAGGCGGTAGAAAATGAAACTAATTTATATATAAACATATATATACAATATATATATATATATATATATATATATATATATACATATATATATATATATATACATATATATATATATATACACTTTTAT